CTTTCTGACATCAGCTTGAACGAGGAGCATTCCAGCCACCGTGGAAAGGATGCTGAAAGGATTCATGAGTTGAAGTCCAGGCACTCTGACTTAAGTGGGTCATGCTCAAGTGTTTCAGCTTGGCTCAGATTTTGCAACAACCAAAAAGCTGCTGTCAGCAGGTTCTTTGATGGAGACTACAATTGCAGCCTCTTTGCAAGACCATCTCTTCTTTGTGATGAAACAGGAGGGAAACAGATGATGATTAATTCAGTGGTGTTCAGTTTTTGGCAAGGAAAAATCAGCAACAATTGTGCAGTAGGCTGATCCAGTAAACACCTGGAACCCAGTGCCAGGCAAACTGCTGACGGACATTGATGGCTTGTACTTGATCAATGATGGCTACCAGACAATTGCAGCTTTAAAGGAAATTGAGCAGGCCGTCACCTCTGGCATGTTGGAGGAGTTGGTGCAGAACATTTCAACAGTTTTGGAAAAGGGTGTGGAAATGGATGTGAAGAGCTACCCCCCAGTCTATTCTAGGGATGTGCATGTGGCCTGGATGACACTGCTTCATGACTCTGACCAAAACAAATATCGGCCAACCTCCATCTACCAGAAGATTTCAGTGATAGAGCGCTATGTGAAGAAGGCACCAGGTGGTGACCTCAAGCACGCCCCTTGTTACTAATTTTTATGTTCTGAATTTTGCTAATGACACTTTGTTTGTTTTGACTGACTGGCTTTGGCCTTTTGAAGGCAATTGTTGATGGATCTGCAGGTTTGCACTGAGCTGCTGGCAATTTATGGCACCTCGAAGCGGGCCACTGTGACACGATGGATTCGGTGCTACTCCAACCTGGCACAACCAGTGAAGGACCTGCTCCGTGAGCTTCGGTCATTGCCTGACAGTTATGTGTTTGACAACCCCTACTTGCTGGGGCCAGGTAGCCAGACTCGCAGTCATCGAACAGTTCTATCAAATACACTTGAGACTTAATGTATGGAAATTCAGGTTGTTGAACCACACTTGCTTGCTTTTGATTTATTGCTTTTGTGAGAATTATATTATATAGTTGTTTTATACTTACACTGACACTATTCTTATAGTATATAGTCAGATCACTCCTCTGTCTGAGGGCCAACGAAGATGCGTACAGAGGATGCTGTCAAAGCATTGGTGTTGGTGGCCAGGGCCAGAGAAGACTCACGAGGTATGACGGAAGAGTCCTTCAAGAGCCAGATTTGCAGCCCTTTGTTAGCGAAGGCGGCTTGGGTGAAGTCGATGCGATCAATGTTCGGGAAAGCAATTGATACACCAGCCACTTGGCCATGAAGTTTTCAGATTTTCTAGGTAAGGGATTAGATTGAAATTACTTGGACATTGACTGTGAGATGGGTTCAGGCTGTGAGTTTGTCCTGACCTTGTTTGCCCAGGCATTTGCCAGGGTGCAGATGATGTTGGAGACCCGCAGTGGCCTCTCCCAGATCATCAGTTGCATGGGTGGCAATGTGCCTTTACATGGCATCTCAGATGAGAACGAAGGTATCCGAGAATGCAGGTGCTTGTTTTTGGAGTTCCAAAAACATAAGCATGGAAACAAGAAGGAAACGCCTTCAGCCACCTCAGCTGAAGTACCAGATGGAACCATGGCAGTAGCAGCAGGTGAGGAGTGGTGGGAACAGTTGAACATGTTTTTGAGACAGATTGTGGTGGGAACAGTTGAACATGTTTTTGAGACAGATTGAAGCTAAATCTGTTTAGGGGCAGATCCTTCTGGATTCATGAAATTTGCTGAGTTTGTCAGGATCTCACTGAAGGTGGGGCAGCAGCAGAAGCATCAGTGGAGATTCTGGCTGAGGCAGAGGTAGACCCACTTCAGAAGGAAGCCCGGGAGTATGCGTCCAAGATGTCTGACCACATCCACCGCTTCAAATCTGTGAAAGATTTGGGAGACAAATTGTTCCTTGGTGTTTTGAAAAGTGCAGAGCTATGTGTTCATCCCTTTCCTTTGGTTATTGTTAAGCGCAAGCTTTGGTGCAGGTTGATGAAGTTAAATTGATGTTTTGGACTTGCCTGCTGCTGAGGCCCCAGTATCTCCTTCCTTCGACCCGTGTGGTCTTTCTCTTGGATTCACCCACATCCAGGATAAAGGTGGTGGCAGAGCACATAGACAGTGTCCAGGATGTCATCACCAATTCCAAGCTTGAGAAATTCTCCATTGCTGTGATGTGTGGCGGAAGGTTGGACTACATGAGTTCGGTTCAAGCAAAGCTGGATCATTGCTTTCCCAACAGCCAGAGCTTTATCACATTGATCACAGGCCCAGAGTTTATGGAAAATCTGTTTGCTTTCCCAACAGCCAGGGTCACAGTTGACCCAGAGTTTATGACCCAATTTAAATTCAATGTCCAACTGGTTCTTTATGTGTTTTCTCAGAAACTCAACTTGCCTTCAGCCAAAGCTACATTACATTAATCACACACACAGAGTAATTATGACCCTATTAAAATTAATGATTGCAATTTCCAACTCAAGGTGGAGGTGAGAGCCAGACAGCAAAGAGGAAGTCCAAGTTTGCGGTGGTTCTTCACCACGGTGGCGCCCCCAAAGACCAACCAACAGTTCCAACCATGGTGCCTGCTCTCAAAGGCAAAGCTCGAGCCTTCGAAGGTTTGCGCCAACGATGCTTGAGCTTGACTTGTTCTTTGAGATCTTCAGAGGACAAGCAGAAAGCTGAGGCACTGAGAGCCTCAGCTATGGCAGGATGTGTGGCAGATGAGGCTCGGATCCCGAGATCGGAAATCAATGTTGACGACGATGAGATCATGCCAGACGATGATGAGGCCATGGAGGAGGTTGAAGATGAGGCAATTGACATGGACATCGACATGTTTGATGGGAAAAGAGATTACATTGTTGACCTTTTCACCTTCTCGAGGGGGCTGGCATTCTATGAGCCAATTTTGGTCCAGCTTCTCAGCGCATCAACTGCACATGTGTGTGCAGTGATTACTTCAACAGCGCACCCCTCTGCCAGTGTCATGGCAAGACGGCTTGGCTTGGAGGTCTTTGTAGCTCTCCCAGCAAGCACAGATCACTCAATCTCCCATGGTGTCCAGATTCAGGAGTCTATTTTCAAGCACCTCTTCCTCCAGCAGAAAGGATTGAGCTCCTTGAAACATTTGAGTGGGCAATGCTGCTTTTAATAAAAAATTAAACATGCTTTACATGCTGCTATTTTTGTGTGCTTGGCAACTACCCTGTGAGGAACTAGTGGCAAAAGAGTTGCAGTGGCTTCCAGTTTGCAGTTCATTGAAGGGCCTGCGCTCACAGAGGCCCAGCAGATTTTGGACATCAACGACGTGCATGTCGATGCCGATGACATGTTTGGTGGCCTTGATGTCAACCATGCCAGCCTGGATGTCAAGATCCCCCAGCTCCTGACCCGAGAGTTGGCCAACAACAACTTGGGTTTGGCGATGTCAGGCCCTGGGATGGGTCGTGGCCTTGTCACCCACCGGCCTTTAGCAGAGGCACGATTCATTCCAAAATGCTTACCTGTATCTATCATCTTTGTCCTCTATCTATTCAATGTTTCCTATGCCAGACCGTATGCTTACCTCTATTAAATCTTTGACCCTTCAGGGTGAGAGAATTTGCTTTGCAACTTGTGCCAAGTTCACTTCTGCTGAGCGCCTCATGGCCTGGTTGAAGTTGCCTGGACATGCTGACCTGGCAAATGGTTTGCTGCTGGTCAAGAATGTCCGCTGCAATGAGCAAATAGGGAACATCTATTGCTGCCTGCTTGGTGCAGCAAGATATTGTCAGCACTTCCAAGGCCTGGTGGTACTCCCCCAAGTTGTTTAAAACACACCAACCATTACCATCTCAAAATGTCAATTATTTATGCCATGTGCAGGCATTCGCAAGACAGCCAATTGCGCATGGACCTGTGACCCAGTTGCGGGATCTTCAAGCAAGATGATCAGTTTGGTGGTGCGGACCCACAATGGGCAAGGTGTGGCCAAGGGAAGTGCCTTATGCTGCAACTATGGGCTGTCATATGACTTGACAGCACCTGGCTTGGAGGATGGTGACTCTTCCAGAGGGAAAAGGTTTCGTGGAGCGCTGGATGCTGTGTTCAATCACACCCAGGACCAGGAGGAAGCCAAACCTTCAACTTCAGGGCCTCCTCCGACTCCAGATCCCAAAACTCCGAAGCCCAAGCCTTCACCGCCGCAACTGCTTCCGCCTCCAAGTTCAACCCCCAAGCCAGTGCCTGCCGAAACTGCACCAACTCCGACTCCAGTGGCTGTTGTTGAGACTCCTGTAAAGACAGACCCCCCCCCCCAAGCTGAATCCAACCCATGTTGCTGAGAAGCCACCTGCTGCAGAGCCAGAATCTTCACAGGAGAGGTTGATTAGGTGAAAAGGATGCTCCATGTCAATGTTCAGATTGCTTGTTTTTTAAGGTTGATTGAATTGACTGATGATTTGACTGGATGTGGGGCCCTGGCAGGAGTTGAACAGTGGCATCACTGACTTCGGCTTCAAGCTTGTGCTGCAGGGCAGCCCCTCTGATTTGAAGCTTGCCCTTATCAGTGAGTCTGATGCGAATCACAAATTGCCGCCCAGAACACCTCTCCTGCTGGTTCGAGATGCACGGCTTGTGGAGCACGAAGGGGAGACAAAGCCAGAGATCGGCTTCACTTTCAAGAATGGAAAGGCCTGTCTGTCAAAGGGTGAGTTGAAACACACAGTGCCTTGCAGTTTGAAATCTCAAGTTGAACAGCCATTTTGCAACAGGACATGGTCTTCTTCACAGAGAACGGCAAGCAAACATTGTGGAAGCTGTCGGAGCTGATTGAGTACCGGCGCATCAAGAGCATTACTAGACATGGATCTTTCCCAGAGGGCACTTGCCCCTCAGTTTTGACACCTCAAGGACAGGAGCCACCTTCATTCATAGAGTGCACTGATTTCAATCCCAGTTCCTTTTCTTCATTTGGAACTGCTTTGCCAGGAAAGGTGATGGGCTTTATGTCCAAGAGCCAGGCAAGCTCAGTGCACGTCGCACTGGCCATTGCAAGCTCTCATTTGCAAGTGCTTTGGGTTCTGAAGAAATCTGAGCAGCAGAGTTTTTAACTTTTGTGATGTCGTCTACTTTCTCTCGCCTTGTGCCTTGTGGTTTTGTTTCTTGTGTCAACCCAATTCAGTTACGAAGAATTCTTCCTGCAGGAGCTCCAGCCTTTTGGTCTCATGATCACCAATGCCAAGCAGATAAATGTTAAGCCTGGCTGTTTCGTATTCTGAGAAGTGGCAGTATCAGGAGAGATCAGCAACAAGATGGCAATTAGAGTTACACAGGATTTGACTGCTTGCCAGGATTTGCCTCTTCGAGCTGCACCACAAGTGACCGGCTGTGGGAATGACTGGTTGGGCAGTCATTTGATTTTTTTGAACCAGATGGACAAATGCAATTGACAATTGGTACTGATTTTGGAAGATTTGTCAATTTGTCTTATGGCAACAAGCAATGTGTTGTCCGACTTTTGGTGAGTCGCCCCAGACATGGAGGAGGCTCAGTTTCGACATGGAGGAAGCTCAATTGTCAATTTCAAAAAAAAACTGCAAGAGCATTTGGCATGGCTAGTTGCAAGAGCTTTGGCTAGTTGCAAGAGCTTTGATTTGTTCAGGGTGAATTTTGCCATGCACTGCAACTTTCTTAGGCCCTTGTGATGGCTTGCTGTGCAGAGGCAGGGATCTAAATTTGCAGGCATTCATTCATTTGATTCATCAGTTTGGCAATTTGGCATGGTTTTGGTCAGTTTCACCCAAGAATCAAGCTAAGGAAACCATTGGCAGGGCCATGGAAAATAATCAGCATCAAATGTTTTCATTATGTTTTTTAAAGCTTCCCATGAAGAGCAACCTTCAAACTTCAAACACTTCAAACACTTCAGCCAGCAGCACCTCAGCATGTAGTGGCCTCCTGACTGTCCGCGATGGACCACAATGGAGATTGCAGGTTTTGATAATAATGGAAACAGCGAGTTGCTGCTGGCGGCCTCAGACAGTGATGAGGACACAGCCTCGTTGGAAGTTCCTTTGGTTGAAGACGCACCATTGGACATGGGAGATGTCCTTGATTTGGCTTCTTCGGATTCAAGTTCAGAATCCCCCCTGGAGTGCCCACCAGGGCAGCATGAGTCAGATGATGGAGCACTTGAAATTGCTGAGCTCAGGAGATATTTTTTGTCAGGGAGTATTGTTTCCAAGACACCTTTGCAATTGTTGCCGTCTGCAGTTAGCAGCAAAATTGAAACGACACACACACTGACACTGGATGCATAGGAGCCATTGCCTTGGCGATGCAGCTGCAGATCAAGACAGCCTGGAAATACCAGCGCCTTCGACGGATCCCCACTCATGGTCTGTAGGGACAAACTGTGGTCCATACATTGGCCGGCTAAGAGAGACATGTGTGCAACCACAAGCCCAGGTCTTGATTTGTAATCTTGTTGCAAGGGCAAAGGCTTTGCCTTTGGATCTCTTGAAAACTGTACTGCAGAGAGTGAACCCTTCACATGCTTCTGAGAAAGCACGCCAGTCCATGGCCATTCGGGTTGCTGGAGGTTTGTTGGCCATGTCGGCAGCCACGGTTGAGTCAGTTTGGACATCGTTGAAGAAGTCTGGGTGGGTACCAGAAACTCAATTGAGTTCAGAATCATGTTTATAGTTTATATTTAATTTGAGTAGGCAAGGATCCATCCAAAACAATCAATCAATGATATGTTATGACACAATAAATTAATTGCTTTTGATTTTGTCACACACACACACATCCTAAGGAAAAACGACATGGTGGTCACCCAGGTCGACAGCCAGGGAGCATTGCAGCTGACCACTGTGGTCAGCCATCCCAGGCAGTGGAGACTCCCAAGGTGTCACCAGAAGAGCTCAGAATGAATTCCTTACAAAATCTTGTTTCATTGGCACTCACTTGTGCAGTGGAAGGGCGGTCAGGCAGAGAATTTGAGCGAGACTGCACACGCTGGTCCTTGGCTAAAGTGAACATGGGATCATCAGACCACAGCCGGCACTTCTTTCGTCAGTGCCTCTATGTCTCTTCACTAGTTCTGTCGCACATGGATTCCTTGGAATGGGATTTGCCTTTGGCTGGAATTGGGACAGCATCAGACTTTTGCCTGGTGCTGGATCCGGTCTCACTAGGGCATGGCTGGGCCGCAAGGCATGGTACAGTCTTGGTGATGAATCTGGTTCTTGTATCATCTATTACCTGCAGGGCATATTCACCTTTTTTCGCTGGTCCCACAATGCCATTGGGTGGCCATTCTGGCGCCAACATCTCTGCTCAGGCCCTTGAAACACTGAGCCAGCATCCTTCTAACTTCAACGCCAATGCGTTGAAAGCTCGATTGGCGCTGGTTGGATCAGACGGTGGGCTTGCTCAAGGCCAGACCGAAGGATATGTTTTTTTGCTGTGCATTTCCTATTTTTGTTAGACTAACAGTTATTTCATGGTTTTAGATTAAATAATGGCTCAACTTGAGGGCTTGCGAGACAGCATTTTGACAATTCAGCAGGGTTTCTGTGGTCTTTATTTGTATTGCTTTGAGGTGGCCCAGACGCACGCCACTCATCGACAAAAGGTTCTGAGCACATATGGAAAAGCGTCCATGGCGATGCTGCAGCGAACAATTTGACTTGCACTGACTGGGACTCATTTCACCGCTGCGACGTCGCACTTTGGCATGGCATGGGTATGTTTATCTATTTTTCAGAAGTTGTGTGGTCAGTCAGTCAGTCAGAACAGCTGTTGTGTCTCCAGTGTTGGCCACCAGGCATTTTCAAGAACAATCACGAGACATGCTGCTGCCAAAGAGCTGTTTTCCATCGTGAAAGACCTTGACAACTACTTCGGGCACTCTGATGGACAGACCCTATACAGGTCAGTCGGGGTCGAACTTGGCACTGGTCTGACACACCTTGCCCGGGTTGGCGGCACAAGAAAAGCAGGGGCACTGTCGCAACTGGCCACCAAGCTCATCCGCAGCTTCAAACAGGTCTCAGTCAGCTTGACAGCACGAGCCGAGTGGAGAAAGACCAAACATGGTCGGATCAGTTTGGAATCAATTGCAGAGACTTCCCGCCGTGTTCACGACTTGAGCTTCATTGTTTTTTTGGTAGTTTGCCACTCCATCATGCAGCCCATCCGGCAGCACATCCTCTTCGTGCAGGCGAATGTAGAACCCTGGGCTGTGAAGGAGGCAGATGGAGAGCTCATGTCCTCACTTGATTCCATCCATTTTGCAATTGAGGAAGTGCAGAAGCTGGCCTGTGTTTGCTGCCTTCTGGCCCAACATCTTTCAGTCAAAGAGCGTGGCCGTGCCTTACCTTTTGCTTTTTAAGGAACATGCATAGCTTTTATTTTTTGAAATATTTCATTTACTTATATTTTTGCATCGGCAATTATTATGTTTGTTCTGCATCAGAATCCAAGGATTTTTGGTTGCAATGTCTTGCTGCAAAAAAATGGTTCCCTTGGCATTCTTGATGCGGTACCTGCCCAACTTGATGTGTAGCACCCCTCCAGTTTTTCAAGAAGTGAAGTTGACACAGATGGATTATTCCAAAAGCCGGTGCCTTGGCCCCCATTGCCAGTGTGGCTTGAACTTTGAGACCAAGGGCACTCAGAAAGTGGAGATCACAATCCATGCAGGGCAGCAGGGTTGCAAGAAGAAACGATGCCGCTCATCTTTATGCCAGAAAAGGCTGTGTGTTCCACACTGGTCTGCCAAGCGTCTTCAAGCAAATGATGTGAGGACAGACTTGCTGGAGAACTGGCCACGGTACCAGGCACTCCCCACAAGAATGCCACCGCCAGGGAGCGGCAAACCAAACACTTTTCGACATCATTTGCAAACCCAGCCAAACTCGAGCTGCTCCACACATCCATTTGCTAGAGTTGGCGGCAGGTGTGTGTGTTCCTGGAGTTCCAGGTGCTTGCTCCCCTCCCAGCTTTACCACGACTTTCAGAAGATGATGCAGGGACTATCTTCTGGGTATGCATTTATCCGCATTTTCAAGGAGGAGATGAATTTGATCCTTGGCCCTGTGGGCGTCAACACTGGCATGTTGGATTTGTCTTCTGCCATGGCGTTGGCTTGGGACTGGAAGCGTCTTGTTGTCACAGAGCCCACTGCAGAACAACAAGGTGCATTTTGGTTTCTCTTTGAGCAATTGTCGCCTTTCTTGAAGTTTTGCTTGTGGCCAGACCCTGGCAAATATCCAATGAAAAGAACTCATTGGAATCTCGATAAGGATGAAGGCATCAGGCAGTACAAGCTGCTGCT